TAAAAGATTTCTTGGTATTACTTTGAACTAATATTTCTAATACAGAAAGTCTAAAGTAAGTCAGGACCCTAATACTCGTGTATATAGTCGGAGAGTGTAGGGTAAAACATGGCCAAAGAAATGCATGTGAATTGAAATCTCGAAGAGTACATTGAAAACAATGATATTTTGGTATGTGCTACGACTGGATTTTGTCAAGAAATTATCTACCTGATAGAGATGAGCAGTTCAAATGGAAGCAGAAAAGGATTTATATGGGAACGAGAGAAATGAGAACTTATATAAAGTAGCCCAAGTGAAATAAAAATGAAAATCAAATGATACATTTGAATTGAAGATTTGCATGACAACAGAGCTCACCATATTAAAATGACATCATGCATACATCAGTAGGCATCTATAAATAGGAGCATACTCACCCATTTATGTTCATTGAAATGCTTTGACAGAAATGCAGGGATATTTAACAACAATCAAATCCACCACAGAAGGAGGTGAGCCAACATTTCCAGAAGAGTTCATAATGAGAATAACTCATCCTAAAGGAGAAGGTTCGTAATGAGAAGAGCCTGTTCCTTTCAAATCCACCACAGAAGGAGGTGACCCAACATTTCCAGAAGAGTTCATAATGAAAAGAACTCGTCCTAAAGGAGAAGGTTCGTAATGAGAAGAACTTGTTCATTTCAAATCCACCACAGAAGGAGGTGACCCAACATTTCCAGAAGAGTTCATAATGAGAAGAACTCGTCCTAAAGGAGAAGGTTCGTAATGAGAAGAGCCTGTTCCTTTCAAATTCACCGCAGAAGGAGGTCAACCAACATTTCCAGAAGAGTTCATAATGAGAAGAACTCGTCCTAAAGGAGAAGGTTCGTAATGAGAAGAGCATCTTCCTTTCAAATCCACCGCAGAAGGAGGTGAACCAATATTTTCAGAAGAGTTCATAATGAGAAGAACTCGTCTTAAAGGAGAAGGTTCGTAATGAGAAGAGTATGTTCCTTTCAAATCCACCGCAGAAGGAGGTGAACCAATATTTCCAGAAGAGTTCATAATGAGAAGAACTCGTCTTAAAGGAGAAGGTTCATAATGAGAAGAGCCTATTCCTTTCAAATTCACCCCAGAAGGAGGTGAATCGACATTTCCAGAAGAGTTCATAATGAGAAGAACTCATCCGACAAAAGAAGAAGAAGTTCATAATGAGAAGAACTTGTTCAACCTTAGCTCGATTCATCGCATATGGAGTTGAATTAGAAACATCTCACTCGAGGGATCAGCATTGCCAATGGAGAGTTCATAATGAGAAGAACTCATCTGATGAGGGAGAAGAAGTTCATAATGAGAAGAACTTGTTCAACCTTGGTGATTTCATCATATAAGGAAGTGGATTGACATCCCCAGCGAAGAAGTTTATAATGAGAGGAGCTTGTTCGACCTATTGCTCGATTCACGACACTTCGAATCAGTAATACCTCGCTTGAGGGATTAACATTTTCAATTGAGAGTTTGTAAGAAGAACTCATCCGATAAGTGAGAAGAAGTTCATAAGGAGAAGAACTTGTTTAACCTTAACTTGTTTTCATCGTATATGGAGTTAGAACAGCACCAACATTTCGTTCATTACAGAATGAGGTGGATCAAACATTGTCATCTAAATCCATCGCATAAGGAGTTGGATCGACATCACTATTGGTGCAACTATCGTGGGAAGAGAAGAATTAACATTGGCAGTGAAGAGGTAGCAATATGACAAGATGAGACCAATATGAAAAATGGTGCTTTCATATCTTTGCTTCATCCCCGTTTCATAACAATGAGCAAAGAGGGGCAGTTGTAGCCACCATTTTTCATAACCCCTAAATCCCATAACCCTAAACCTCAAAAATTCAAACCTGATAGAACCTTAACCCTAATCCTAACCATAGAGATATCATGATTCAGCCGTCACCACCGGTCCAAGCTCGCTCAACAAAACCCCGGAATATCCGGAGCATTAAAAGCACACCATCATCAACAACAGTAACACCACAGTGGAGCTAGGATTATTTTAATTTTTTTAAACCTATGTAAAATTGGTTATAAGAACCAAAACCATGTAACCGAGAAGGGATCTCTTCCTCTCGTTTTTTCAGCAGAAATACAAGAGCCTTTTTTTTAAGGTATTTTTCTTCTCTTTTCGTTTTCTTTGGTTTAAAAAAAAGATAATAAACTAAAACAAAGCTTGAATAAAATTTTTAGGGAAAGAAAATAAGTTAAGAGTAAATTTACCTGGAGTTTTTGTGTTCCTTGTCGAATAGAGTCGTAGGGGAAGCGATTAGAGCCGGGTTAGTGTAGTTTGGGTAGTAGCGCCGCCGTGTGTGGTGGCTCTCTTTGATTTCCTTGGTGAGAGGTTGCTGTGAGTTGAGGGAGGAAGAAAAGAGAGAAAGAGTTGGGGATTAGAAACCACGGGCAGAAGTGAAATCTGGAAAAGGGGAAGGGATTGATATTTAAGGTTTTTGGGTAAACCACGCTAAGGTCCCAAGACCTTTAGCTTGTTATACGCCATGGTCACTAGTTTAGGGGTAAATCACCCTCTTGATCCTTTCTGTTTAATATGAGTAGTGTGTTAGTTATTCTTTAGGGCTAATCGCGCTTCAGGTCCTCCTAGCTTTACCGTGTTTTGTGATTTGGTCTCCATTTCTGTTTATTTTCAATGAGTTGCGAATTGGTTGCATAATCTTGTATTATTTTAATTTAGTCCTCTGTTGTATGTTTTTTTGTGTGTTTGAAATTGGGTACTGATATTTATGATATTCCATTTTAGTCCTATGTTTATGGTTTTATTATGATTATGATGTTTCTACTTGTTATTTTCTGGTTTAATGCTATAATATTTGTTTTATTAATGTTTAAGATATCAAAGTTGCTTTATAATTATTTTGTCACCATGTAATGAATAGATATAAATGTATATTGTTTATTTATAGCATTAAAGTTTGTTTTATGTAATATGTATCTATTTATGTATTTTATTGTCTCTTACTTCGTTATATACTTATTTAATACTACATATATTATATTTGTAAATGTTATATTATTATTTCTTTGTGTTTTATAATAAATATCATGACGTAGGTTAATATAATATTTAGAAAATTATGTATATATTTATAAAGTCAAATAAAGTTATAAATAATTTTAAAATTGTTCTTTTAATCCATGTGTATTTATATTTTTTTCGCTAAGTGCTTCAATGTATCATATTCTATTTTATTTAAAAGCCTCATTAGTATAACTTAATCGATTATATAATTGGATTAAGGGTAGTATTTATGTATTTTAAAATATTAAGAAGGGACAGTCTTAAAACAACTAGATATCATTTTCCGATATTTTAAAATAAATAAATATCCCACTAGAAAAACCTAAAAAATTTATTGCATTTAAAATTAATTAATTTTGAAGGGAAAAGGAAATATTCATTATTTTAAACTTATCGAGACAATTTGCTAATTTTATTAGAGATTAAGTCTCGGTGTTTTAAATTATTGAATATCCCTTATCTTTTCTAATAATATTCGGATTAATAAATTTAATTTTTCTTTGGTAGAATAATTTTTTTATATGGAATCCTTAGGAAAAATTATTATATTCTTTTTATTTCAGTTGGAAAGAGAAATATTCGTCCTAAAGTTTTATGAGTATTTTCTCTTCAATTGGAAATAAGAGAATATTTTATTTTTCCTTAGAATTTTTGTTCTATAATATTTGTATGGTTGAATTAGGAATAATGGAATCGTGATCTAAATATATATTCGAATTCTTAGATTTCTACTATTTAGAGACAATATATAATCGATGGGTACCAATTTTAGGCATTGTGGGGGTGCTAATCATTCCCCACACGTAATCGACCCCCGAACTCTTTTTTATTACTAAAAATGAATTTCTGGTTATACGTGGATCGATGCATCTTTTAAAATGATATTTTTCTTAAAAAACTCTTTTAAAAGAAGATTTTTGGGTATTCGGCCTACCTAACCCAAAAGGTCGATGGCGACTCCGAAACATTTCTTTTACAAAATCGGGTTTTCACGAAATGAGTCGAGACTCGTCGTATCGTCGGAAATCGGTTACGACACCTCCAAAACTAGTTTTTTAATGAACCGCTAAAGAACTGGTAGAATCAGTTGGGAACCGACAAAATCAGTGTGAACCAACTGTTTTATTTTTTTTAAAAAAAATTAAACCAAATGACGTCGTTTGTTATTATTTTTTTCAGTCCCAAATTTATTTTAGTTATATAATTATCATCAAAAAAACAATGAAGATTAATCTTTTCTTTTTTATTTTAATTATATAATTATATTTATTATTTAATATATTTTACACTTTTACTTTTAATTGTTAAGTATTATTTAAAAATTTAAATTTAACTTTGTATTTATTTATCATATTGTTAGGTGATGAAGATCTTGATGTTATAGACTTTCAAGTTTAAAGTGATGCTATGAAGTTTAAGTTTAAAGTGGCGGCGATGGCGTTTGTAGTTAAATTCATGAAGTTTTTCCCAATATTTTAGAATTTGAGGGAATCAATTTCAATTAATATTATGATGATTGATACTTGTATCAATTATGTATTTTTTTTATTTAGTTTGATGAATTTTATTAGGTATTGACCTTAAATATTATGTTGTAGTTGATTTGAATCATTTTGTTTCATTTGATATTATGATATTTAATCTATATATGTTATGACTTCTGATATTTTTAAATCATTTAATATCGTGAACTTAAAAAGAATGTTATATATATATATATATATTAATATTACTTTAAATATTATGTAAAATCTTAAAAAATATTATTTTATATAAATCGATTTAACCGCGGTTTAATTTAATTAAACCAATACCTTCATTGATTTAAAGTCCGGTTTAGTTTTAAAAAAATTTGCCAGAATATTTTAATTTTTTATATAACGCATAAGAAATAATTGAAAAACAGAGAGAGAAAAAGAGAAAATCCCTTTTCTTTACTGTGTACAATACAGATCTCTAACTTTCGCAATCATCGAATCTCCATATTTTCATTCTTGAATTCTTGATTTCCCTTCTCTGTTGGCGCTTGGCTTTCTTTTCTGTAATTTTCTTAATAGTAATTAGTAACAATAATTAAATATATTATTGTTTTTCCCCTGAATAAAAAAGGGCGCTGTAATTTAGGCATTCTTGAGCGATTATTTGGCAAAGAGAAGGAAAAAGAGACAGAAACGAAAATCTAATCTTTGGGTTTTTCTTTATTCTCCCTCTTTTTTATAATTTATGGGAATCGAGGGAGAAGAAGAATGAACCATGCCCGTACAGCGTAACGGAGCACGCAAGGGCCGGGCAGCAGCACCGAAGCGGCAACAACAACAGCCGAATCCGATCGAGGCAGGGGAAGCGATCGCGACGCGCACAAGAAGGCGGCGGCAGGCGGCTGAAGCTGCGGCGGCGGCAGACGAGGCGCCTGTGATAAACAATAACAACGGCGACGGTGACAATAAGAATAAGAAACAGCGGGCGCAGGGGGGCAATGACAAGTTAACTGTCGCGGCGGCAGTTGGGGAGGGGAGAATAACAACAACAACAATAACAATAGGGTTTTAGTGGAAAGGGATCGAGTGGAGAAAGAGGAAATTGGGGATAAGGAGATGGATGAGTTCGATAACGGAGGAAGGCGGAGCAATGATAAGGGGAATGCTGTGATAAACAATAACAACGGCGACGGTGACAATAAGAATAAGAAACAGCGGGCGCAGGGGGGCAATGACAAGTTAGCTGTCGCGGCGGCAGTTGGGGAGGAGGAGAATAACAACAACAACAATAACAATAGGGTTTTAGTGGAAAGGGATCGAGTGGAGAAAGAGGAAATAGGGGATAAGGAGATGGATGAGTTCGATAACGGAGGAAGGCGGAGTAATGATAAGGGGAATGCTGGTGACGATGAAGGCAGCACCGCCCCGATTCCTGAAAAGGTTTGAGATTTCCTAGCTATCTTTTGCTTTTATGGTTTCCTAATGTGAAATTAGAATACATTATATTGTTTCTAAAAGCTGTGAGATTAATTGATTATTTTTTTGTGTGGAATAAGTTTGATCTTAGGATTGTTTTTAACAACCTACATGAACTTGATTTGGCTTTGGTTTTAGTCTTAAGTATAGAGTCTAGACTTATATGAAAGAGTTCTGGCTTCCATTTTTTTATCGAAGTTTCAGTATTTGGAATCTGTTTTAATTGTCTCGCTGGATGTTGTAAATGGATTTACCTCTCGGTCTTGACATACTTGTTAAGGATGTTAAAACTGTGAGGGTTTATTAAGGGAGACTCATTTGGTAAAAATATGAAGGAATTACATTGTTATTGATTTGGGTACTTACGCAATTTTAGCCTTAGAATTTTATAATTTTTGTATTAGTGAAGAAAACGATGTTTATATATTTATGGAATTTGCTGTACATATTTTGTTAAATTCATAGAGCATTGAGAGACAAACATAATGCGTGTTTTTGAGCTTTTGGATTTGTTGAACTAAAGTTCATACCGTGTGTGAGAAAAAAGTTTATATAACAATCTGCCACTTTGTTAGCTGGATATTTTTTAATCCGTGCATACTTCGTTCGTCCAGTTATTCTTTGCTTTGAATTTTTATTTATTCAATTGAGAGTCAAAGACGAAGCAAACAAACTTTTATTCCTTTTCGAGCACCCCTATCTTAATCCATAGTATTAGGCTGGACTAGTTATATTTTGTGTTCATATTCACTAGTCAATATCTAATACATCAGTTGCTTTACATAAAATAAATTGACTGTTCATATCTTAGATTTCATCTGATCTAGAATTATTCCTCTAAGGATTGACTAGAGTTGGTCTATAGCAATTAGATTACTTGTACCTAATTATACAGTCTTATTGGAAAGAGGGGATGAATCAGTTAGGGGAAAACACTCTCTGCCCTTTTTGTAATCAAGGGGATGAATCAGTTCAGCACTTATTTATTCTTGTCATGTTTCTTGGGATTTGTGGACTAAGCTTTTAGGGTACTGGGGTATTCAGTAGCTATTCCACAAGACCCTCCAAGTCTGCTCTGTTCGGGGGCTGTTTTGAGGCCTAATTCTGCATTGGAAGTTTATTCCAGGGGCTGTTTTTGGTGAAGTTTATTCCAGGGGCTGTTTTTTGGTCAAAAATGAGAAATGAGTTAATTTTTGAAGAAGGAAAACTAGATAGAATTTTACTGTTTTTCACTGTTCGTTTAAGGTTAGCCAAATGGTTTTTAGCAAAGTATCCCCTACACTCTATTCAGGTAGACTCTCTAATTGGTGATCCCTCTTTGGCTGACAATTTTTCTGCTCCTAAGGTTCTGAACAGCATTGTGTACTGCTGGAATCCTCCTCCGGTGGACTATTTTAAGATGAATGTGGATGGGGCTGTTTGCAGTGTTGGGATGATGGCTGGTATAGGAGGAATTCTCAGGGATTGGAATCGGGTTACTCTTCTTTCATTCTCTGAAAGTGTCGGGCCTACCACACCTATTCTAGCAGAACTAAAAGCTATAAAAAAAGGCATTGACATCTTTGTTTCTTCAGATTGGGTGTTGAAGGGCAGGCTTATTATCGAATGCGACTCAAAGACAACAGTGGATTGGATCATTAATCAAGTTTCTGCCCCTGTTTTTCTGTCTAATTTGGTTAAGGAAACTGTGGCTTCTGTTTCTTTAATTCACGCTATTGTCAGGTGGATTCATAGAAGTTGTAATTGTGAAGCTGACAAGTTAGCGAAGGAGGGAATTGGGTGATTGTAGTCATGGATTTAGTTGGTTTGTATGCTTTAGAGTAATAGTGTTTCAGGAGTGTTTTATGTCGGTAGTATTTGGCTGGAGAGTTCTTAAGTTTTATGTAAAAGTTTTATATTTAAAATAAATCATGTACTCTTTTCCTCCTTCAGCTGCCTACTAAGAGGGAGGTTTTTAAAGAGGCATCCTATTCCTATCAAAAAAAAAAAATTATACAGTCTTATTTTTTACTGATCATTTGTCTAATACCACTTTTTACGAATTTGTCTCTTCCATTTAGTTAATCTCCTCACATGTATACAACAAATGGACAAATTCATTGCATAAAAATAAAGAATCAGTATTTGATTTAGTTCATACAAGTACAACTTATTTCAATATTAATTAAAATTTTCTTTTGTTCTATCTTTTGTTGATTGAAAATGACTGCAATTGGAATCATTCTACAGGAAAACATTTTTTCCTTTTTTTTTAATTTTATAAAATCATAGAACTTAAATATTTTGTATTTTTCTGTTACATTTTGTGTATTTTTACACATTTGGATCTACAATCTGTGGTAAAAAGATTTTATTTAGGACCTTTTATTTTATGATATCTTCTTATACTTCAATAATCACCTACTGCAGGTCAGTTTGGGGATCCCCATTGTATAGAATTGAGAAGAAGTTGGGCAAGGGTGGCTTTGGACAGGTATTTGTAGGTCGGTGTGTTTCTTCTGTAAATAAAAAGGATAGAAATGTCTCTGGTCCTGTAGAGGTATGCCATTGTTTCATTTTTACTTATAATAGATATTGTGTTTGATCATCTTCAATGAGAAACAAATAGTTCTCATGTTAACACTCTACATGATCTCTTTGTTTTAGGTTGCCTTGAAATTTGAGCATAAAAGTAGCAAAGGATGTAACTATGGACCGCCACATGAGTGGCAAGTTTACAAGTGGGTCTGGCTACACTTCCAGTTTATTGTAATTTTATGCATATACCTATTTGCATTACAGATACTTATTCCTTGTCATTTACAGTACACTTGGTGGCACTCATGGTACCCCGTGTACACTATAAGGGCCGTCAGGGGACTATTATGTCATGGTATGCATTTATTTATTGTGCCTCTTTTCTTTTAAATCTTGCCTGCTTTTAGTATTTAGGTTTGAACACCTTTCTGATTTAGGCCTTTTATTATGCAGGTTAGGATATGCTGGGTCCAAGTCTGTGGGATGTTTGGAATAACAATCATACGTGAGTGCTGAACTAAGATGTATTCTTTATCTTATACTGCTATTATGTTGTCTTTTTTGAAATTCAGTTGCTTAATCAGAGTGCTCTTAATACAGAATGTCTGTTGAAATGGTTGCTTGCATTGCTATTGAAGCAATATCTATATTGGAGAAGATGCACTCTAATGGGTAAGCAGTTCAATCCCTGAAACCTTCTAACCTCATTGGCCTGAAAGCATTTTCCCTACTCTCCTCTGGATTGTTGAATAGCTTAACATGAGAATCATCTCTGGATCTCTAATGGCCAATCTCTCATAACAGAAAAAATTTAATTCTTAACTTGAGTACGATTTGTTTCTTCATCTTATTAATAGTTTTTTTCTGGTACTTTGGGCAGCTATGTGCATGGAGATGTAAAGCCTGAGAACTTTCTTCTAGGTCATTCTGGGACTCCTGATGAAAAAATTATATCTTGTTGATCTTGGATTAGGTAATTTCGAGTCTTATGATTTATATATGTTAAGTACTCCCAGATAAATCATCACTTCATCAATCCTAACCTGTTTTGGCAACCAGCAACAACTAGGTGGCGAGATAGTTCAACAGGGTTACATTTGATGACCAGAGACCAGATGTTTTTAGGTACCAAACTGCTTAAATCATGATTATTGTGAGATGTTTTGTGTACCTGCTTAATTATCTTATTTAAAGGGAGTACTTCTGTGTATTAGAGGAACAGTCCGTTATGCCAGTGTGCATGCTCATTTAGGGAGAACTTGTAGCCGGAGAGAGATCTCGAATCCCTTGCATATACACTTGTTTTCCTTCTTAAAGGCCGTTTACCTTGGCAAGGATACCAGGTTGGTCCTTCAATAAGCTCAACTTTCTAACTCAAATATTCTTGCTTGCATTTGCTCGTGTATATTCGTTGGGTTTTTTCTTGTAATTTCTTTTTAACAAATGTCAGGGAGACAATAAAGGGTTCCTTGTCTGCAAAAAGATGTCAACATATCCAGAGGCCTTGTGTTGTGTTGCTTTTGTCCTTTGCCTTTCAAACAGTTTATTGAATATGTAGTCAACCTAAAGTTTGATGAAGACCTAATTATGCAAAATACATTTCTCTGTTTGATGGGATTGTTGGTCCAAATCCAGACATCCGCCCAGTTAACACAGAAGGTGCGCTGAAGGTACAAATTATTCTTTGTTGATTTAAAGATATTTTTGGCACTAGGCTTTGTTTTGGTTGTCAAAGTAATTTTGACCATAAGAATGTGATAAAAGTTAGTAAACGTTAATTTACCAATAAAGTTTGTTTACTTTTCCTTGGCCGGTAATATATTTCATTCCTGACTTCTTTATATATATATATATATATATTATTGTAAAGCTTATTAATCAAGTTGGTCAAAGAGAGGCCGGTTGTCTATGGATGATGAGGAAGATGGACAACCAAAGAAGAAGGTTCGTCTAGGCATGCCAGCATTGCAGTGGATTAGTGTTTACAATGCTCATAGGCCTATGAAGCAAAGGTATCTATGCCTCAAGTTTTTTGTAGTTCTGTAGTTCAGTTTTAGGGCTGCTTTCTTAATCTAGTTAATCCTAGGACTTTGGTTTTTTTTGGTTAATTTTATACCGGCGTTGTTTACTGTCTGCATTTGTCATCGTTCTACACTTTAAATCTAGGAGTAAACTAATTAGTGATCTAGGCCTCATGTAGGGAATATTAAAGGATGGGAAGTTTAATCGGACATGTTTCCAGGTATCACTATAATGTGCCAATGAAAGGCTTGAACAGCACATTGAGAAAGGAAATGAGGATGGTTTTTATTAGTGTAGCTTCCAGTGAAAACCTATGGGCCGTTTAATGGATGCCGGTACTGGATTCTCTGCACAAGTCCTTCAACTCTCATCCGATTTCCTTCATAAGGTACATCTTTCCATATACATTGTTGATGTTGAGCAATCCTCTAGTTTTATGTGTTCCATTTTACATTTCTCTTCTATGCCTTTTTATATTCCTGTAGTTAGAAGATGCTTATGAATTCAGATTCTATTAGTTATTGATTTGATGTTTTGCTGTCTGAAGGAATGGATAATGGAGCAGTGGGAGAAGAACTATTATATCAGCGGTATAGCAGGGTCTGCAGACGGAGGCTCCTTGGTAGTAATGTCAAAGGGTAAGGTTACAGCATCTGATTTTGGTCAATTCTGTTGTTTGGTTTCGGTTTACTCAGCTTCGATTCTGTGCGTTCAGGTACTTCATATTTGCAGCAGTCATACAAAGTAAGCGATTCTTTCCTTTTAAGTGGATTAACAAAAGTGGAGAGAGGGTTTTTATGTCACCTCAATGGCCACTTCTGGTAGCAGATGGGCAGTTGTTATGACTCGTGGTGCTGGATTTACCGACCAGGTACTGATCGATTTTTACATCATTTATGTCCCGGCACATCCCTTAAAAGAAGCATATGTAACCAAGTGTTTTCTGCATTTTCATTCTAGGTTGTTGAACTTGACTTCCACTATCCTAGTGAAGGCATCCATCGTCGGTGGGATAATGGGTATCGTATAACTGCTACTGCAGCGACTCAAGACCAGGCTGCCTTTATCCTTAGCGTGCCAAGGAGGAGGCCAGCAGATGAAACACAGGAAACCCTTAGAACTTCAGCATTTCCCAGCACTCATGTCAAGGTTGATAAATTATATGAACCTTACTAGCTTTTGTCTTCCATTTACTTAACTCATTTTCTTTACATTGCAGGAAAGTGGTCGAGGAATCTTTACCTTGCTTCCATTTGTTATGGACGAACCGTTTCATGAGCTGCCCCATTTTTTTTAGGGTCTCCTTGGTGACATTGTTGAAGATCCGGGCCTGTCAAACTCTCAACTAGCTATCTATATCGTAAAAACCAAACCCTCCAAGTTGGATCGATGAGGGTGTAGAGAAATTTTAACACAGGCTTTCAAATCAATTGTAAATAAGTATAGAAACTTGTAGTTGAACAGTTTAGTTGCATTCCTCTGCCCCAGGAATCCGGAATGATAGGTCAGTCTTTTAACACTTGCATAGTTTCGAGTAATAAGTACTTTTGTTAGGGCAGATGCCAAAATGGAAAATTTCTCATTATTTATCTGGTCCCGCATTTGATGAAAACATTACCAATTTTTGGTTATTCATTAGTTATTTAAATCAACCCCTCAATAAAAGATTGTTATATTAAGCATTGTTTCATGCACACTACATAAAGATCAGATGAAGGATCCTTCCAGCTCTTGTTTGTGAAAATGCAAACAAAGGTTTGCTTACAATTTGTAACCGCACAACTGCTTTCAAGTAATAGGCCTGCGACATAATCTCTTGAGCGAAACATTTTCCTGGTACATAACCGAGACAAATGAGTGTGTGCCGAACATTAATAAACATTAATACAATCCAAAACATAAAATTGCAGTTATATGTATGTCATACATTGTGAATGCACGAAAGAGTGTTATTGAGTCCTATGTACCTCAGAGTAGTCATGGTCATAGCAGACCACGAATACGCAGGTACAGCTTTTAGCATCATGCGTCTGCCTTTTAACATCCATAACATGGGCGTCACAGTAAAGTTGATAATACTCTCTATCCTATATACAAGGGAAGTGAAATGGTAAGACAACATCAAGTAAATTTTTCTCTTTGATTAACTTTCTAATGCGGGGTAACTAGGCTTTGGTTTATGCTATGGAACATTTTTTAACCGGACGGTGTTGGAACCACTTATGAGATCAAATGGTGACACAAAGCATTAGAATATTTTAAATAGAACATATGAAAAGGAAAATACCAGGTAGCACAGCACGAGGTCTCCAATCTTAACCAGATCACATTCAGAAGGTTCTAAAGGAATAGATCGTTCACGAACTGCAGTTTCTACATTCACCCACTCATCCTCCTCCGCTTTATCGAACCCAGAGAATCGTACACGAACTTCCTACAATATAACAGGTTGCTTTATCAAATCACTTGCAGCTCCTTTCATAGTTTAACCAGTATCAAAGGAACCAAGCATTAAACAGTTGCCAGTCACTTTATATTAGAAAAAAAAAAAATCTGTATAAGAATCTTACAAGTTCACCGTTGTAAAGGACTCTATAGTTGAGGAACGTTTCAACATCATACCTGAAAGCCAAAGACATATCAGCTATATGCACTAGTTTAAGTCACAATGATACATATACAGTTTACGGCTCTGTTATTTTGAACATTTTATTAAGACTGCAAAAATAATTCAGGTTTTGTACTAATTCAGGTCCGTGATTTTATACTTGATTAATAATGGATGCTCAAACTTTTCCTATTTTGCACACCCTCTTAGCATTCTTGATAAACTAGTTAGCTGAAACCCAATCTAATTCTGAATTTTCAATCAATAACGGCTTCTTCGAAGGTTACATAAAAACATTTCGATGTGTTCTGCATGACTTTGTCTATAGAAATTTCCTCACCATGCATAATCTTTTGACGATCTGGCTTCAAATGACAATTCCTTAATCTTCAGCTGTACCTGCATTACAAAATTACAATCAATACAAGAAAATCTTTACAGTTATTTTTAAATGAAGGGTATTAAGAAAGCATCCACAAGCATGCGTTGAATGTTTTGTGCCCATAAATAAGCATCCCAGCCAAATTTACATATAGCATTCAATTGGTAAGGGTTTAAACTTTCATGATTTTAGCTTTCAAACTCTCCAATGATTACAATATTTCTGCCTTTCTAAAGCTTATAAATTTCATGAAAGTGACTGCTTAATTTCATAGTATTAAACTGCAGCGGCAACTCAGTGTAATGGCTGCATCTTAACTTTTTTTCAATGTTATCGCAACACGGCAACTGCATTTTAAAATCACAGTTATTTTTAGGAAACAAATCACGTCACATAGCAGCCTCAGCCTCAATTTAGCACTATGCTTAATGTAGCAAGTGATACTAAGCAAAGCCGGGCCGTGTAGTACGAATCAAACGACAATTCCCCAATAACTACCAGATATTCACCAATAATTTGCCCTAAAAAATGTAAATTTCTGATGCCAATAAGTGAACCTTTTCTTCTTTGCATGAATTCTAGCGGTTTGCTTGAGTTTGCATCAGAAAGATCAACAAAAAGTTCAATGGCCAGTGCTGATGAATCTTGTTCCGTTTCTTCCAGTTGTTTTTCTTGGAAAAAATGTTGGACCTAAAACATAAAAACAGAACATTCTTGTGAATATGTATATGAACTTACTATGAAATCCATTGGTTCAATTAAATAAAACGAACCTGTTGCCACGTTATAGTAGATTTTCCCAGACGGTTTGAAGAGGAGCTGATAAGACAAACAAACCCCAGAAATTATATTAAAAAACATCTTTTTAATTAATAAAATAGACTAATCTTTCAATAAAAAATTGAACAGTTACACACAGAGTACTGGGTTTTTCCCCCTTTTAATTCACCTGAAGTTGGTAGCTAGCTTCTTGCAGAATTCCTTATTAAGCGTCTCATCTCCTTTTGCCTTGTAATTGTTCTCCATTTGCAGAACCTTTTTTCATTAAAAAAAAGCTAAGGGAAACAGCTATGTTTTGCAGACTAAAGAGGGAAGATCAAGAGGAACAAACAAAAAAATAAATTAAAACAGAGCAAGACGTCACGTTTCTCACACTTAAATCTGGCCAGCCCAATCCTTTTCTTGGATTGTTTTCTCTCTCGTATTAAAATTCGACTTGACTTAAAAGAATTAATTTTTATTTAATATTAAAAAATTAATTATTTTGATTTTATTCAATTTGAAAGAAAATAAATTTAATTGATACTCAAAAAAAACTAATGAAAGGATTGATTTTCACAAAAAACAGACATATATACATGTATAAGTTACCTCCATGGTGTACTTCAAGTCAATGGCGTATGTAGGCCTAGGCCCTATGTAAAAATAGGGTAAATTACTCTTAGTTACTCACTTATTATTAGTTTTAGTTTTGGTTATCTAACTATATTTATTTTAAATCATACTTATCGTTACTTTTTGGTTCTAGTATGGTCACTTGTCTATAAAAATTTGACTATGATGTTAATTATTTTTTTAACGGCATGCGACCAAAACAACAAAAACATAACACTAAATATGTTTTTAAAAAAATAATAGTTGAATGATCGAAACATAAGTAATAGGAGAGTAACCAAATATGTAATTTACCCTAAATAAAATATGTATAATTATGTTAAGAAAATTATATATTGATCAAATTAATATATTTTTCTAGATTTAATCTAATTATATATGTATTGTTATTATAAATTAAAATATATATTAATTAAATTAGATAAATTTTTATATTACATTGGCCCATTCCATAAACCCTTTTAGATTCGCCACCGCTTTAAGCCTTCACCTTTACGCCACACGAACTCTTCACCTTCACCATTTTCTTCCCCATGAGCTTCCTCGAACCCGAATAGCTTTGGTAGGTTGTCGATGAAGTTTTATCTTGGGAAATAATGGACTAGAGACGATCTATGTATGATTTACATAGTGAATCGAATATAGATCTCAAAAGTTTATGAGTAAATTTATTATTTATTACTATTTGTAGACACCCGTTTTTTCCGGATTTTAAAGATTATTATTATTATTATTATTATTTTATTATTATTTATATTTACAAAATATTTGCAGGTCTATCAGTTAAATAATCAGAGCCCAATACCAGTGATCCAGTTACAAAGTCCAAAATATAAATCCTGGAGCCCAAATTTACAAGATCCATATTATCAACCAACACCAACTCGACCCGGAAGCCGACCCGGGTCCAAGCCATACCGAGGCCCATCCCAATCCATTTTCAACTAGGGTTTTGAAACCGAAAAATAAAGTATCATCCAGCCGCCAGTGACCACCCAGACTCGATCCATGCCGCCGAACGCACAGTGAACTCCAGCCGACAACCGAGCCATCCAAAGCCACAACGTCATCCCTTACGCCAAATATCACTAAAAAAAGCAACTAAGACAAAATAAATTAGTCATCCACTGATTTTTTTAAATCAAATAAAATCTCCAAAAATTCGGTATTATGCTCTACCCACTATTCGACATTAGGGGAAATCCACTACACAACAACTATAAGAGGAAGCAACCATTCGAATGAAAGGGGAGGAGGCATTTTCGAAGGGATTCGAACAGAATTGAAGCAAAAATTTGGGTATTCGAACAGAGGAAGCATGGACAGAAAAAGAAAAAAAACGAGAAAGAGAGAAATAGAACTCTTACCGTGGTCGGAGAATTCATCGGAAAGTCAAAGGGGTAACCGTATTTCTAATATTTCGAAAGATATTATTTTAGACCTAAGCTTGTAGGAGTGTTTCTAGGCTGAACTAAGGAGATATTCAGAGAGTAGGGAGCGAGGGGAAGCTTTGGGACCATTGGTTCCTCCGGCAACCATAAGCCCGCCGTACGCCGCCATCAACAGGGTGCTCCTCTCCTCCGACGAATGAGTGAGAGAATTTGAAATTCTTTCTTCTCTCTCAGTTTTGAAACCGAGTAAAATGAAATGTTAGCCAATTTTTGGCTTTGTTTTAAAGTTATATAACATATCCAAAACGACGTAGTTTGGAAAGGGATTTGTTTGTAATTTTATCGTGGTTAATTACACTTAAGGTTTTCATGTTTTGTATGTTTATGTTATGGTTACCTATCATGTTTTATTTATATTTTTTTCATGTGTCACGTTTACAAATAGTATATTTGGTCACCTTAAGATCATTATATGAATTTCGTGTATATTATAAATTGTTCTCTTGGTTTATGAAATTTGCATTCAAGTCATTGATTTAATGTATTTATGTATTTTTGATATCATTCGAATTTGGCTATAATGTTGTAAATATATTGTTTTAGTCCATGTTTAAATTTGGTTTAATTGTGATTCAACCTTCAAGTTTTGATTTATTGCATTTTAGTTCTAAATTTCATTTTTGGTTTTTTTTTTTCATTCTAGTACTGGTACTATTTACTATTTAATATAAATATGGTTATTTAAAATTTCTGTTCAACCCTTTAATTTCTGTTTTATTAATTTAATCCTTTTAAATGTTTGTTTTTGCTATTTTAATAATTTAATTTTCTGTTTTTTTTGTTATTTTAGTATTTTAAATGTTTAACAATATCATTTTATTCCTTTAAGTCTTTGTAATTACTGTTTTAAAAGTTTATGTTTGTGCCATTTTAGTCTTTTAAATTTCATTTTGTATTATTTGGTCTTCAAATTTTATATTTTTATTATTCTAGTCTTTTAAATTTTTGTTATGCCATTTTATCCCTTGATTTTCTAATTTTGTTATTTTGATCCTTAAGGTTTTCGTTCTTTCTCTATTTTGGTCTTTATAAATTTTAATATTTATTTTGCTATTTTATATTTAGATTTGTAATATTTATTTGTTTTTATTTCAGTCTTGTGAATTTCCTCATTTAAGTTATTAATTTGAAGCAAATTAATCAATATTTAATAAATGAATCATATTTTAACTTGATATTTGATTTATGATTTCCATTATTATGACAATGAGTAAGAGACACAGTACCAATTTTGGGCGTTGTGGGGGTGTTAATCCTTCCCCACGTGTAATCGACTCCCGAACTCGTTTTAATTAAATCTTTGGTAAACACATATCAGTCTTTTGTCTTAAAAAATGATTTTTCTTTAAAATTGTTTTTAAAAGACATTTTTAGGTATTTGACTTACCTAACCCAAAAGGTCGATGTCAACTCCTTTTCAATTTAATTCCAATTAATCCAAAATCATCGAATTTTCCAAATTTAAAGTCGTAACCATTTTTAAAACAATAAACAATTGTTCCACCTAAAAACAATTATGACAGCTTGGCGACTCCACTGGGAAATTTTTTAGAGAGTCTGGCTGTAAGTTGCTTACTTATTGTTGTTGTGGTGGAAATTGAATTTGAGTCTTTAGTTAACTTATGATCCTTTTATTGAAGTTTTTAATTGCTTCATTATTTTTATTTTCATACTAAAATTTGAAATTTTGCTTTCAGATATGTCCAAGTTTTTATCGAGTGGTTTCGTTTTCCTTTCGAGTCAAAGTGGTTCATCTTCACACACATCAAGTGCATTTGCATAACATAAGCTCTATATCCGAGCTCTAAACCCTTTCTAAGTGGGGTTGAAAGCTACGCCTTCGAGAGAATTTATTCTCCGTGCAGTCCTAGCAAGTAACCTTCGAAATTCATATACCTTATGTCTTCGAGGGAATTTACTCTCCGCATAGGCATAAGGGAATGTATCTTCTTGAATTGAACTCGTTCCGCTCGAAACCTATAATGGGTGAGGATCGAGGATTTGGCAGCCCAAGGGGGCACTGACATCAAGGACAATTCTAGTACCCTTTTCCTGTTAGAGCGAAACTATGCATATAGTGAACCCTAGAACGGTCACCCTAAGTATAGTTATACTGAACCTCTGTCTGTCAGTAGGTACCCAAATTAAGTGTACACAAAAGAGGAGTATTTCTGAACCTTTTCTTTTTGTTTTAAATTCTGTTGAATAAAAACATGCGAACTAGATACCATGTGTAACATCCCAAAACTAGAGCAAGTGACTAAAATGAAAGTTTTGAAAATTTAAAGTCTGATTTTAAAAGATTTGAAATATTTTTTGGATTGTTCAATAAATAAATGATGGAATAAGGGGTATAATGGTCATTTGACAAAGAAAGATTTTTATTTTTCCCTTATAAAAGAAGTAGACACGTGGAGAGGAGAAGACAAAGAAGAAGACTCTGGACATGCTTGGCTTTCTTCTTCCTTTCTTCTCGTGGCTCCATTGGTAAGGTAAGATTATGTCAAGTGATTGCTTTCTTTCAATTTGAAGTTGGGTTTAATTCTTGAGATGATAATTAAGCTTAAGGAAAGCTTAATATGTCTTAAAACCATAAGATGAAGGAGTTAAGAGAGATTAAAGATTAGAAGTTTTTAAATGAAATTTTGGAAAAGAGTTGATAAGTAGAATTTGAAGTTAAATTTGACTTGTCAAATGGTTAATTAAGAAGTTAGAGGTGATAGAATTGAATTACGAACATAGGGAAAATTTGATGAAATTCTTTGAGTCAAGAATTATGGTGAATTATGAGAGATGATGAAGTGTTATAGTGTTATAAGAAGGTTTACATATGCATAGATAAGTTTTAAGGTATAAGAATGCGTTAATAAGTAGAATTTGAGGACAAAGTAAGAAATTTTCGTGCTCAAAATGGAATTTCTGGGTTGTGTGCATCGATGCATCTTCAATGTGTATCGATGCACTCTCAAATAAATAAACATTGAATGCAATTAGTGCATCGATGCATAAGGAGTGCATCGATGCACTCCCTTAAAATGAAAACATTGAATGTAATTTGTGTACCGATGCATGGATAGTGCATTGATGTATATGTTAAGGAATGCATCGATGCATTGTAGAATGTACCGATGTACTTCAAGGGGAAATAGAATTAAACATTTATTTTGGTCTAATAAATGATAAATTAGAATATATCAATTGGATACTGATAGGTATCAATGTATGA